GATGGGGATACTCTTAAATAAAAAGCAATGTGTGTTTCTATATATATATATGACATAAATAAATGTGCGAACAATCAATGTGATATTTCTGCTATTTAAATAAATGATGTGTATTGTTGTTTTTGAACCTGACCAACAGCAAGTGTAGATTTTAGTTGTGAATTAATATCAATATCTGTTGTAAATGGATACGATACATGTATTTGATGCTGATTATTATATACATTTTTGCCCTAATCAAAATATTATTTTATATAAAATGATATCAATCGATCCTCCAATAAAAACAAACGTATAGACGTTTGAACAACAACATCAACAAAACACAAAACCAATCTCACCAATTTAGATGATTTCATAGATTTTGAACGATTAACCTAAGTATGATTAGGTTATTAATTATGTTAGTGAGAAGAATAAATAATAAATATTCTTTTAAATTGAAAAATATTTACTTGACGTTTACGATTTAATTTTTGAAAATGTTCTTCATTTGCTTTATCAGATCGTTTTTTTTTTTGATTTTTGTTTTGTTAATAATTTTTCTTTCGTATATCCTATATCAGGTAATTCATCACCTTCTGGATCACTATCAGAATCACTTGAACTTAAATAAAATAAATAAATAAGTAAATATATATATATATATTTAAATAAATCAAACCTTGAACCATCTTGATCATTAAGAGTTTCATGACATTGTGTTAAAATTTCTAAACAATTGTTTATTGAATTAAGTCCTATTTTTGATTCATTTGATTGTTTTTCTTCTATTAAATTCATATTTATTTTATAAAAATTTATAAAATAAAAAAAAAACAAAACAAACCAGGATAAATAGAAGATAATAATCCAAATGGAATTTTATCTTTATCTAATCGATGAAGAACACTTTTTGTTATATCCATTAAAATTGATTCTAATCGTCTAAAAAATAGAAATTTATTCAAATATAAAGAGAAAAATAAATAGATAAATCTATCTTACGTTGAATCGTATAGAACATCTATATATTGTTTTAATGATTTACAAATACATTGTCCAAATTTTTCATAATCTTGTATATTAAAATGACATGGTCTTTCTCTACAATTAACAAATATGATTACAAGAGATTCACAATAATATATACTTAAACATAAAATAATGTTTTCCATAGCATGACTTTTCTTTTTTTGCATATGATACTTATCGTGTCGACATTTACACGTTAAATTATTTGTTCAAGGTAAAGATGAGAATGAAAACATGCAGATACAAAAAACAAAAGGAAGAAAGATCTCTCATAATTGTTCAAGATAGATATATGAAAGATATGTCTTTTCTATGAACAAAATGAAAATATTTTTAATTATTTTCGAATTGATGTATTCAATGAATATCCTATTATTAAATTAATTAATCTGATTCTTATCAATGAAAATAAATGATTAACATATTAGAAATAATTTCTATTGACTAAGTTTTAAACGTTTATTGACTACCTATGCAGCCTAACTTTTGGATAAACGCGTTTTTTTCGTTTAATTTGGAGTTTTGAGAGCATCAAAATGGCAAAAAATTCAAGTTTTTAGCGTTTAAATGCATTTTTCCAAAAGTTTGTTTGCTTAGATAAACGTGAAGCTATGAGAATAATTAAATTTTCCACGTAAGTGTTACTCAATCATATATATTTGTCAAAATAATCAAACTTTAAAAAGAAAACAATTTTATTAATTAAAAATCATTAGTTGAAAATGTTTGAACATATAATTATATTGATTAATTAGTTTTAATTAAAATAAAAGTAAAAACTTACACAATACTTGTTCCAGCAAATGATGCTTCTAATGTAAAACTATTTTTTATTAACATTTCTTTCCACATAACAACACGACCAGTTGATTCTTTACATCGATGTATATGAAATTTACAATAATCAAATGAAAACATATCTGGTGCCTAAAAATTAATAAATAAATCATTTTATTTTTTGCTTTTTTTTTTATTATACAAATTCAAAAATAATATTTAACATAATTTTATTGATTATTATGAAATTTCTTTTTCAGACAAAAAA